TTAAGATGCAAACGTCTGCTTCCCTTAAGCAATTGTCTGGAAGGAATGAAAATGTATTTTCCTCAGGGCGCCCAAGGCAGTCACGTGCCAGGAAGTAGCTGCCGGACAGAGAAAAGTATAAGAATAAAGCGACTGGTGGAATCCCCACTGCAGTCTTGTACGTCTTGTGTGTGTGTCTGTGTGTTTCTTTCTGTGTCCATCCCCCGTTCTGCAATCCGGGCGCAGCGAGCAGGGTCTGTGTCGTTCAGGACGGAGGGAACGAAGAGGCACCCCTTTGGCAACAGATAAGCGGCAACCAACAGGGGACTCTCGGGAAAATATGGGGAATTTCCCCTCAGCAGCAGAGCGCAAATATTGAAAGGTAATTAAAGGACTTTTAAGCTCTGTGGGAGTAGAAGTAAAAGAAAGTACCTTAAGACAATTATTCGTGCTAGTACAATAACATTGTTATTGGTTTGAATGTCAGTCACAGGTGCAGTTAAATCTCCATAGTTGGCAACAAGTTATTAAAGCTTTTCGCCACGCCCATCAGCAAGGCGAAACTATTGATTTAAAGATTTGGACCGTCTGCAATGCGGTAACTCAGGCTTTACGCTTGCTGCAGACAGACTCAGAAAAGGCTTATGCAGGTGAAGAATCCGAAAAGGAACCCTTGCCGTCTCGTGCCCCGTCCCCTGATGAATTGAGAGATGAGGGAGCGCCAGAGCCACCAGATGGGGACTCTGACCCTTCGGGTGAGCCGCCTACTCGGGCAGAAATGCAAGAATTAATTTCCTTGCTTAAAAGGGATAAGATGGCTGCCAGTCCTCCGCCTCCGCCCTTCCTTTCGGCTTATCCAGTCCATCCCTCGGCCCCTCCAAAACCAGGGGAACGAGTTTTTCAAATTTCTTTTGCACAACAACAACCCCCTGGACCTACGGAGGAACAACTTACTGGGACAGGGCAGTATACTACTCTGGAGGCTCAAGCAGCCCTGGGTGACCCAGCCTTGGTGTTCATAAGTTATCTACGCAGGTCTTTGGACCTTTGCCTGTGGGGAAGGTTGGGCTGGTTATTGGACCCAGCAGCTGTACTGTGAAAGGAATATTTGTACATGTGGGAGTTATTGACTCAGATTATACCGGTGAAATTCAGTTTATGGTCTCTGTTTCCCATACTACTCAAGTCTTTGCAGGCACTCGTACAGCTCAGCTCTTGCTCCTACCGTATGTCTCTTTTCCTACTCGTAAAGCTGAACGTCAGGAAGGCTTTGGCAGCACAGGAACTAAAGTTTTTTGGGAAACTCTTATTCGAGACTCTCGACCTGTCCTCACTCTTGCCATTAATGGTCGTACGTTTGAGGGGTTGGTGGATACTGGAGCTGATGTTTCTACTATTTGTCTTGCTCAATGGCCCCCTGACTGGCCCAAACTTACAGTTCCCACTGTTCTGTCTGGATTGGGGCAGGCTCAATGTGTGTTTCGTAGTAAGGATCCCCCGCCTATACTTCTCATAAACTTGCTACCTTTCTTGCCTTGCATTCCATCCACCATATTACAGGCATTCCTTTCAATAGTCAAGGTCAAGCAATTATTGCACGTGCCAATCACACCTTGAAACTCCAATTACAAAAACAAAAAGGGGGAGTCCCTGAGTCTCCTCAACGCCATCTATTAAGAGCACTTTTTACGCTTAATTTTCTAAATCATTGGCAGAACTAGTTAATATATGGATGGGTAATATGTCATTTAATCAGTCTGCCCCTGCTGCTTTTCAGGTTAATCTCCATACTAATGTTTCTCGCTCCTTGCAGGCTTGTGTGTCTTATACGTATTTGCTGTTGCTAGGTACTGTCCAATGGAATGAATCCACGGGAAATATTTCTTGTATTAATGACTGTTCTTTATATACTTGCCTTAACCGCTCTTCATGGGCTACATTTAATGCTAGTTCACAAAGCTTGTATATTTTAAGGGCCAGAACAGAGCTTTGGATTCCAGTTAATCTGTCTCGTCCTTGGAGCGAGTCCACTCTGATCACCACTTTTCTGAACAAAATAACTGCCTTGAGCCATCGAGCTAAGAGAGCTACCAGCCTTATAATTGCTGTTGTGGCAGGATTGATATCTATAGCTGCCATGGCTGCTACTGCAGGAGTGGCTTTACAGCAATCTGTTCAAACTGCTGACTTCATCCGTAGATGGCATGAAGACTCTCATAGGCTGTGGCAACATCAACAGGAAATTGATAGTCGCTTAGAAGGAGAAATCCTTCATTTACAAAGTACTGTCCAATGGTTGGGAGATCAAATTCAAGTTTTATCTACTCAATCGTTTTTGCGTTGTGATTGGAATTCTTCCAGGTTTTGTGTCACACACATTCCTTTTAACAGTAGTAAGCATTGGCGAGTCCTTTGCCAGCTGTTAACCAGAGGCCACAATTTGACAGCAGACCTACAGAGTCTGGAGCAAGAAATAACAATCACCTTTCATGACAATTTGCCAGAGTTT